AGGTTTGGAAAGTTTTCTTGCAGGATTTCATGGAATAGATTATCAATGCCCTTATGGGTCTCTTCACCTTCTGGAATGCCAATTATCCGGATGTTTGGACATTTGATGGTATCTAGTATATCTCGTATATTATTCTCAAATTTGGGGGCCATTTTCTCAGTCTTCGTGGTGGATTTTTCTAGGCCAGCCATTTTCTCTTCTACATCTGAGATTCTATTTTCTGAATGATGTAGTCTGCTTTTAATACTTTCAAGGGAGATTTTGACTTCCTGTATTATAGACTTCATCTCTAACAGTTCTGTTTGAGTCTTTTGTAACGTGTGTAATTCCTCTTTTAGGTCTTGCAAGAATGTCCTCATCTCCTGGAACTCGTCAACTTCTTTCTCCTTTCTCTTTAGCAGTTCATTATCTCTCTTCTCTTCCATCTCTGTTAGCTTCAACATTATGAATGCTCTAAATTCCTTATCAGACATTTCCATGATTTTCACCGAACTGCTTGTGGATGAAGAAAGAGTTACTCTTTTCCCTTGGAGGAGAAGTATTTTCTTGCTTTCCCATATTTCTTGTGATCCGGCGGTGATTTCTTGTCATCTGATGGATGGTGTGTTTCTTTCAAATTCTTGAAGTTCAGTCTGAATGTTCAGGAGCAAGTAGACAGAGGTGATCTACAATCTCTTTGCCATTCTGTTGTGGTTGCTGGTGCAGCAGATTCAGTAGATATTGAAGAATATTTTAACCCTATTAGTATTTGGATGTTTAGCTACAGTGCTCTTAGATCCGTCTAGTTCGCAGGAGCCATGCGGAACCTTCTTCTGAAGGCCTGGCCTCTTCTGCTGCTAGCTTGTTTGCTGGAGGTTGAATTATCAGTAGAAAAATCTTCATTTCTCGTGTGCCCTGAAATACCTAGTTTGCAGGAGCCATGTGGAACCTTCTTCTCCAGCATGAGTTTTAAACCACCAGGTCTGGGACTTGAACCTCGGTCAACTACGTGGGAGTCCAGTGACATATCCATTATGCCATCTGCTGGTTCTAAGAAAAATACTTCTTGAACTGTGAAACTGTCAGACATTGCCTGAACCCCTCATTTCTCTGAAGAGGAAGCTGCGACCTAGAGAGGGAAGGTATTTTTGAGCAAAGGGTTAACAACTGTTTCCAAGGTCAGTTTCCCTGGAAACAAATGAGGAAGGGATGTGCCAACTAAGCTAGGAGGCAACACCAATGAGGGTAAAAGTAGCCCTTGGCTGGAACTTTGCCCCTGGACTGGAGCTCTCCAGATCCTTAGGATTCTGGTATCAGCTTCCCTGGGACAGCACCCTGGAAGTGAGGTCTATGGATATGTGGGACGGGAAGCATCTGTGCCAATGCAGCTCTCCGACCTGTGCAGTCGGGGGTCTCCCTCCTCACACTGAGCCAGCCCCTGGGGAGAGGAACGTTTCTAGGGTGGCCCTAGGGCTGCTGCATGGACTGTGATGGCCAGACCCAAGGAGGAAGAGCGCCCAGTGCTGCCTCACTGTCCAGCTGTGCTTCAAGCTCTGTGACTTCCAGGGATTCTGATTCTGGGAGTGGCTCATGGTCGGCTTGTGAGTTTGAGAAGTTTCCTGCTGGTGTTGCTGGACTTGTCCACTGTGGGGCAGTAAAGGTCTGGGACCTATCTTAGGTCTCCTGATTCCCAGTCTGGGACCCTTGCTTTATCCTGGAGATCTCTCTGGGAGGCATGCATCCTACTTAAGAGAACTCTCAGTCTGGGTCAGAAAATATGAAAGGACGTCAAAAAATCTGTGAGAAAATGGAATTCAAGTACTTTATTTTGGTGCAAAAATTTTGAAATCAAAGCATGGTGGGTTTTTGTTTTGTTTTGTTTTTGTTTTATTTTTGAGAATTTTTTGCTATAGGGCACGTACGCTCACCAGACAGAGAGAGACAGAGGGACAGAAAGTAAGAAATCACCCCCCAGGGGGGATGGCCACGCCACAATCCCTTCTCCTCCATTCTCCTCTCGGGATCTTGGGCACGCATGCACACACGCCTAGCGTGAGTTTTAAGCCACTGGGTCTGGGACTCGAACTGTAGTCGACTACATGCGAGTCCATCGACATAGCCATTACGCTAACTACTGGTCCCAAAGAATAGTGTTTTCATAATATTCATTTCCCCTGGACTTTTTGAAGACCCCTCATAAACACACACACACACACACACACACATAACCCTAATAATGAACAGTACCCCCCCCTTATGCATGGGAGTTACATTCCAAGACCCCCAGTAAGAGACTGGCATTTCCTAGTGAGCACAGTATAATAGGATAGTTTGAGAGACAGGGAGGCCCCATTCACATAACTTTGATTACAATACATTGTTATAATAATTCTACTTTATTATTGGTTATTGTTCATCTCTTCCTTTGCCTAATTTATAAATTAAACTTTATCATATATTCTATATGTACATATAGGGAAAAACACAGTATATACGGGGTTTAGATTCTATCTGTGGTTTCCAGCATTCACTGAGGAAAAAAGGCTTATCATTTGACTTTCCTCCTTCTCGCCTGGAACATGGATGTGAGGCCTGGGGCTGCAGCAGCCAAATTGTAAGCATGTCGTGTAAGCACGGGATCAAAGGCCTATACTAAGGATGGCATTAGACTGTGTCCTTGGTGACATCCAGGAGCCACCGTGCATCTCTGGATTGCCCACCTGTGGGCTGCTTGTATGGACTGCGTAAAACTCCCATTTGTTTAAGCTCCTGATGTACTGTGCTATTTGCAGCAAGCATGATTTCAAACTGACAATAACGTAAGAGCGATCTGGGCATTTGGTAAGAGAAAGGGGGTTAGACTGAACAAAACACAGTTGCTTCACTGCAAACGTGTACACAGACATATCAACACGTGTACACCCTTTTGTCTTCACAAATACTCCCAACTGTCCCTAGACTTCGTCATCCAGCTACAGCCAGAAACTGGCAGGAATAAAGAGCTGCCTCACCTGATTCTAATTCCCAGAGTGGCTCATCCGCTCCTGTACAGCCCTGATGGGCTTCTCAAAAAACTGCTCTCAGACATGACCCAGGCTATGCCTGTGCTGCCGTGGAACTCCCTGAACCTTCTGGCACAGACTGGCACTGGCCGCTTCATCCTTGCCATCAAGTGCAGCCTTAGAGGGGCCTTGGGGGAAGGATAACCGGACTACCAGCCTCTCCAAAGTCAGCCTGGGAAGCACCCTGACACAGCCAGGCCCATTACCCTGGGGCTGTCGCAGTAGGCGATGTCATCAGAGGAGAAGAGCACCGCATCTTTGATGAAGATGGACAGGGCACGCAGGATGAAGGACCCAAACAGGTGCATGTGGATGTAGTTGCGAGTGCAGTGGAGTCTCCTGGAGGGAGAGAACGCAGGGCCATTGCTGTAGAGTTGGGAAGGGGTTGGAACCCACCCAGACTCACCCTCTCTCCCAACGCACTAAGTAAACTGGGCTGTGGACATCATTTTCAGGCCACTCATCTGTCCACTAACAGAGCCTGAATGAGGACCAAGGCCCTCTGGTCCCCAGTGTACTCTGCGACATACTGTGGGTATTAAATAAATAAATAAATAAATACTCGGAGTTATAGGTGCAATATTCATTCTGACCTGACCTACCACAATCTCTAGCTCCCAGAATTTTATGTGCTGGGAGAAACCAGAATGGGAGAGATCGGGCAGCACAGAAAGAGCACAGGCTGTGGGAGAAAGCAAATCCAGTCTCTGCCACTCCACGATCCATCTCCGTCCGCAAAGCTTTTAAACCTCCTAGAGCCTCCCTGCCTTACGGATCACAAAAGCAGCTCTCCTTAGAGAACCCATTCCCTCTAGGTGGGGAGGACTCCACCTCCTCACCTGACCTGACCAATCAGAACACTCCATCCCTGGCCACGGTGATTGGCTGAGAGTTCTCACCGGAAAGCGCACAGGATGCTGAGGGCGACCAGGAGCATCGACAAGGAGGCGCTGTAGCCCACGGTGTACATGACCTTCAGCTTCAGCAGGTAGGTGTGCTGCAGAGAGAAGCCGTGTCAGCCCCACCCCACCCCACCCTGGCTGGCCCTGCTCTCTATGTCTCAGTGCACCTGCTCCAGGCAACTTGAACCCCCCACCCCTACCATCCCAAGGATGTCAGTTCAGACTCAATATCATAACGTCTTGGCGTTGGAAAAGTTCTTTGGGGGGTTACCTGATGCCAATCCAAACTTCTGCCGCATTTAAGATCCCCTAGCAACACTCTAAATTCAAACCTTTGCTTGATTGCCTCTAGGTGTTCACTGCCATTTGAGGCAGTCATTTGGTGGAAAGCAGTACAAAATACTGATTTTTTTTTCATGTGACGCTAAAATTGACAGCTTTTTATGTCATATCTATTATTTTAACCTTTCTGGGGCCACTTAAAAATAAACTGTATTTATCTTGTCCATAAAACCTGTTTTACATAGAAAAGTTACACAGATTGTATAGAGAGACCTGTCATTTTCAATACAGCTATTCTGCTCATCCATGCCTCACTTATCTTTAAGTGCAAACATTCCCTTTCCATAAGCCTTTACCATTTAACCCAATTAATATGCTCCAGTTTGTCAATGCCCTTCTTAAATAAGATACCCAGAACTGCATAGCTGAAAAGCTCTAGCTATATCCTCTGACCGGGAAGAAATAATGGACCGTTGTCTCCCCTGGTCTGTACGCTGGGAACCTATTGATGCAGCAAGCAGGCGTTCGCTGTCCAGCAGCACATCACACTACTGGCTCATCTTTGATTCAAAAAAAGTTCTCAGCAGACTGGAATACTGAGCAAAAAACAAATTAAATTGTGACATACAGGTGTTAAATTTAAATCCAAAAAATAAGTTGGACAATGATCTTAAAAAGATTCTAGGAGGGCAAGCAGGTGACGTGGAGGTCAAGGTATTGGATCGCACATGGCTGACTGCATTCAAGTCCTGAACCCTGTGGCTTAAATATCAAGCCAGGTGCATGTGGGTGTGTGCTCAAAATCCTGAAGAGATTGGAGGAGAAGGAATTGTAGTGTGGCCATACCCTCTGGGAGGTGATTTCTCACTTTCCCTCTCTCTCTCTGAGTGTCTCTCTCAGTGAGCACAGCACAGTATAGCAAAACTAATTTTTTAAAAAAAGGTTCAAGGAAATGAAAATTAAAACAATATGGTACGCTATTTTTATACAAGCAACAATATCCTATGCAGGTGAGGGTATAGTGGGAGTGAAAATTGGTTCACCCTTTCTGGAAAATACTATGGAGATATGCAGCAATGACCTTTGACCTGTGCATTCCTTTTGACCTCCTTTTGACCAGGGATTAATTCTAAGAAGAAATTAGATGTATAAAGGCATATAAAGATGTTTACCAGAGAAGAATTTGTGACCAAAAAACCATAATGTCCAACAATAGAAAAAGTTAGCTAATTTATTTTAAATTCAAATGATTTTAATGTTCTACCACTATAAAAATGCTGTATACCACGCAATTTCAAAATGGTCAGAACATGCTGATAGTATATTGTTACGTGAAAAAGTAGAATACAAATTATATATATGTAGCGTGATTCCAGCTATATGCAATAAAAGGGTTAGGTTGGATTATATGAAATTGTCTCCTTTTTTGTTGATCAGTAATGATTGACTGTCACCCAGTCCATGGGGTTCAGTCTCATGCATGCATAGAAACAAACTTAGAAGGAGACATGTTAGATGTTAATAGTAGTTAACTCTGGATTATAGGTTGGTGAATAATTTTCCTTTGCATTTTTTCTATACTTCTATTTTTTTTTTTACAGTGAGTAAGTGCTATTTTATAACCAAAAGAAAAAGACAACTAGTTTTTTAATTTTTTGAAAAGCACACAGTAGTATAGAGAAAACCTGACTGACGGCTGTTCATATGAAAAGGACCTTGAGGTCAGAATGGCCCAAGCTCCATGGTGTCCCGCAGTGTACTGTAAAGAAAGAACACAGGCTTTCAGAGCCAGGAGACAAGGGTTGCAAACCCAGTTACTCACCAGCTGTGTGACATTGTGCAAATTACTTAACTCCTCTGAGCCTCAGATGCCTCATCTGCAAAATGGGGATAATAATATCTACCTTGTAGGGTTGTTGGAAGAAGAAATAAGCTATCAGATAGACTATCCAGACAATGCCTGGGACCTAGAAGACAGTGTATTATAATCTTTTCCCACCCCATCACCTGCCCTTCTACCATCTACCCTTCAGAATGAGTCAGCAATACAAGACGGTGTGAAGTATGAGGTATGAGGTAGCTGCTAAAAAAATTAGGCCTATTCTCAGTTACACTGATGGAGCACTCTGAGCAGCTGGCTGAGCTGGAATGTTTGGAGTGTCTGCCCTCTGGGCTTGTTATTTTGAGAGACACATTAATAAACTGGAGCATTTCCAGAGAAGCGTGATTGTATCATCTGAAGAGTGTTTGAAAAACTGGGTGCATTATACCTGGAGGGGAAATAGGCGGGGGTGGGGATGGGTATGGGAATGATTGACATGTAAAAAGGTAAGACTTCATGTGTGAACTGCAGTGGAAAGAAGTTATCAAAAAGGAAGTAGATTTTGACTCAGGGTGACCAAACAATTGCCAAGTGTGAGAAGTGGCCTTTGATAGGATGGCTGCGCTGTGACATTGAGCTTCCCATAGGTGTAACTGCTCCCCCAGAAGCCAGGTGGCATCTCTCAGGGATGAGGGGAAGAACCTTGACGAGCAGTGGGTTGCCTTAGATGAATGGTTTATTCATCTAAGACTTTGGGATTTGGGGACAGCAAAGACCTATGAAATGTTAGAATATTAGGCTAACATGTCAACCTACAATCCTGCCACATATAAGATGACCCCCACATCTAGGATGTCAACTGACTCCTGGGGATGTCTAGGCCATCTTGTAAGAAGAGCTCAAGGAGCCACAGGGTGGACATGTGGTGTGTTCAGGCAGCATATTTTGTAACGTCCTGTGGCTGAGATCACTATCTGCCAGGTAACTTTCAACCCAGTGCTTGTGCGGGCCTGTTGTCCTTTGTAGCTGTAAGGTCTGACCCAGATATAGCCCTGCTCCCAAGACCCCTGACATGACCCTCCATCTCTCAGCTCTTAACTATGTACCAGCCTCAGAGGACTTGGATCCAGAGGACTCATTGCTGTCTGTCGGTCCTGGACCAAGTTGCCTATCTCTCTGCTGTGTATACTGGCTGGGCCACCTTCTTTGTGTGTCCTCTAGATCAGCTGTCAGCGAATGTTTTCTGTAAAAGGACAAAGAGTCATGTGTGTGTGTGTCCAAAATCCCAAGCGGAGAATGGAGGAGAGGGGATTCCTGCATGGCCATCCCCACTGGGAGTGATTTCTCACTCTCTCTCTCTCTCTCTCTCTCTCTCTCTCTCTCTCTCTCTCTCTGGCAAGTACATGTGCCTTATAGCAAAAAAAAAATCTCTCTAACTCTCTAAAAAAAAGAGTAAATATCTTAGGTTTTGGTGCTTTGGTCCTCTAGTCTCTTTTCCAGCTACTCAACTCTGTTCCTGTCATGCAAAAGTAGCCATGTAGAGCAAAAGGACTTGGCTGTGTTCCTGTAAAACTGTATTTGTAAAAGCAGGCAATGGAGGTGGGCCCTAAGGCTGTGGTTTGCTAACCCCTGCTCTAGGTAAGCAAATACTGTTTATTTATTTTTTATTTTTGTAAATATTTTTTTACCTTAGGGCACATATGCTGGCCAGGGAGAGAGAGAGAGAGAAAGAGACAGTGAGAGGGAAAGTGCAAAATCTCCCCCCAGGGAGGATGGCCATGTTGCAATCCCTTCTTCTCCACTCTCCTCCCAGGATCTTGGGCACACATGCACATGCGCCCAGCATGAGTTTCAAGCACCGGGTCCAGGATTCGAACTGCAGTCAGACATGTGGGAGTTCAGTGATATAACCACTACGCAATCTGCTGGCCCTGCAAATCTGGTTTAATAAGCACATGACATCTAAGCTTTGTCTTATGGGCAATCTAAGTCCAGCATTGGTATTTGTCAATAATCCAATGGTGAATGTTGCAAAAAGAAAAAAAGAAAAAAGAACAACTTATACATGCCTTCACCATCAGTTGATAAAAAGGAGAACATTTTAACAATAAGAAATCAGATGATGGGCTGGCCCATGGTGCAGTGGTTACATGCAGAGCATCAGGAGTCAGAGCTCACATGGCTGACCATGGTTCAAAATCTGGCCCAGGAGGTCTGAAAAATAGCCAGGAGCCTGTGTGCAAATGCTCCAAATCCTGACAGGATGGGGAAATGGAGGAAAAGGGTTGTGGCATGCCCACGCCCCACTGGGAGTTTCTCTCTCTCTCATACACTTGCTGGAAATATAAAATTAATTAATTGATTGATTAATTAAAAATTTAAAAAAATAAAAACTGGGAAAGAAAAATAAATAGGATGATTGAAATCCCAGAATAAAGACCAGCATTTAGGAGCCAGTGAATTGCGTAGTTTGGAAATTCTTCTAATTGTCGAAATTTTTCCTCTTTCTTTCTTTTCTTCCTTCCTTCCTTTCTTCTTTTCTTTCTTTCTTTTCTTCCTTCCTTCCTTTCTTTCTTTCTTTTTTAAGACATATGGAAATAACCTGGTCTTCGGTGATTTTGTGAAGCTGCTTCATAAAAGACTTCTGATACCCATTCTCTGGGTGTCCAGTTACTTGAGCCACATTTGCTTAGTAACCCATTTAGACATTTCTGTCATTTGCAGCCCAAAGCATCCTTTCTAATCTCCATCCTGCTACCCATCATAAGAATGTTCCTTCTTAGTGCTCACTCCCTTTTGAGGCTTCTTATGAAATCGCCCCACTCTGACCAGATGGAAGACCTCATGGGTTTTCCCCAGATGGATGACACACCCTGGGAGGGCAGAAACTCCAGCCTCTACTCGGTCCCCTGCTCACCTTCATGCAGAGCAAGACTGACTGACTACAGAGAGGAAAGTCAGAAAAAATTCAGATGTGGGCGTGGTCTGCCATCCACTTCATCCTTTCCCTCTCAGTGCCACCCCTCACCCTCCATGCTTCTCAAACAGGCCCCACAGCCCTCTCCAAGAGCTATGTCCCACACTGCCATATTCCTG